CTGAGTTCTGTTCACCATCTGCCTCTTCGTTTAAAAGACTTATTTGCCGTATTTGTACGTATTTATCACTGCTTGTTAACTTTATGGCTGTAAAGGTATTACTAATCCGACTTAAGTGTTATCTAAGGCCAAATTCAGACGCCGTACTTCACATGAGCCGAATCGAATGCAAATGAGAAAAATCCTTTGTTCTCCCTCATTAGCATTTCATTCGGCTCATGTTAAGTACGGCGTCTGAACTTGGCCTAAATCGCCTGAACAGTGCTAGCAATTTCCACCCACTAAAACGCGAGTAACTGTGCGATAACCTTGGCAACAGTTACAGCTCCTTTGAAAATTCATCGATCGTTGACAGATCGATATTTTCATAATTTTCGTCCTTCTCAAATGAATTAAATGTAAGACGAGAGGGCATTAAAACAACATAATTAAAGTAAAGACAAGCAAAAACAACTCCACACGAGCAAAATGCATCACTTTTGAAAGGTGAGACAAGATGTAAAACATCTGCTTGTGTTTTTGCTTTGGTTAAACTGACTTCATTTAAGGAAGCTTGATGTAGCCTGCGGATGTTGGATTTGGAATCAAACCTCAGTGGGAATCTTTGATGTTTGCCAAACCTCATCGTACATAATGCTTATTATTTATGTCAGCTGTTCGCATCCGAGGAAAGTTTTATATTTTGTTGGTTTCTAAGCAACAGAGGTTACCGTAGCAACAGTTTTTTTGTAGTTTTCTTTTGCTTTTCTAACAAGGCTGATTTACTTCAAATATATTTAGAAACTTTGTACTCATTTTAATTTCTAATTATAGAGGTTTGACAACCTGAAAAGTTTTCTAATTAGACAAGTCTGTAAGGTTCGGTTTCTCAACAACACGACAAAGAACTTTTTTCAGGGGTGTTTTCGGAGTCCCACAATAAACGATCCAGATCTTTGATAATAGTAAATACTTTGCAAATTAAAATTTCTGTGGATGAATGCTATTTCAAAATTTCATTTGGAAGGAGTAGCCTAAAAAAACCTCGAAACAGTATCAAAGTCATCCTCGGAGACCCACTGAGCTTGCAATTTATATTTTAAAGAAACATTTTCGGACACACTTTAACAATTATTATATTATTTATGAAAAATGGTAAACTCTACGAGCCGTACATGAACTTTAAGCATCATAAATTTAGTAAAAACTTTTGGAAAATGATTTCGACTTATACATGTAACAAAAGACGAACAAACTCTTCCCCGATAGAGCGGTTTTCAATTGAGTGTTGTAAAACCAAAACCAAACCAATTACTTACCAATTACACTACTCAGCCAATCTCAAACCATAGTAAAACCAAAACCAAAACCAAAGTAATTGTCTAATTACTTTCGACACTCAATTGAAAACCGCTCTAAAGAACTGATGAATTGAAATGAATGCAACGGAACTTGGCGTTATTTTACATTGCCTCCAATAATGCTATCTATCATTCACGTATTGTAGTGAATCCAGGAGCACATTATCCTGAGTGGAACATTAAATGCATGTCTTTACTCTTTTTGCTGGCCATTACAAAACCGAGTTTAGAAATATCCAAGTAGCATATTTTAAACAAGGCCCCCAAAAAACCCTTCACAGCACTTCAGAATAGGGGATGGGGAAGATTCGGCTTTTGTTACAGAAATGAGACTTGATAAGATTTTAAATCAAGTGATGGCGGGACGATCACGATTATTTCAGTTTTTAAAAACATGGTCGCATCAAAACTATAATTTTATAAAATTAATACGATGATCAATGTGTTTAAATTTAAGTTTATTTTTTTAATGCAATCCGTAGCCCCAAATCCCAAATCCAAAATAACTGATTCCACTGTCCTTATTCCCGTCGTTCACGACCGTAATCCAAATCCTTAATCCTTAATACAAAATTTCATGCCCTTATTTTCATTCCCAAATATCCCATACAGTACACTCGAAAGAGGGCAATGTAAAGTCCAGAAATCCTTTAATTCTAATCCAAAGTCTAGTCCAAAGTTCAATCCAAAGTTTAGTCCAAAGTCCAGTCCAAAGTTCAATCCAGACTTTCACACTCTGGATGACCGGCCGATAGCCCTTTCCGAATTAAACTAAGCCTCTCTATAAAAGCGAAACCTTGTATAATTAACATTCAAATGAAAATGAGTTTTATTTGCATGTGAATGAAATCTCATTTTCGTATGAAAGGATGGGCACCAAGACTCGCTTTGAGAAAGAGGCTTAAGGTAATTCGAAAATGGCCCATTGCTAACCGCATGCATATCCCAAACTTTAATTCCATATCCACAATCCACTATGTTGATTAAAACGCATAGTCTGCTTCTTACCCGCAGCCACTCCCGAAAGTTTCTAGACTTCAACTGGAAGTTTGGGTGCTTGGCAAAATTTGAAAACAAAAACTGCCTCGTCGCGTCATTAATTTCATTTGCTAAGGACGACTATTGCTAATGTTCCTTCCATTTTTCGATCAAACATTGATCAAGTTTTAATTTGAAAACAGCGAGTATGCCTAACAAAATTTACTTAGCGTCAAAAGTGACAATGAACCTTTTCCATATCAGTTGGCATGTAAATTTAGGGTTACCGTATACCTTCAGGGGTGTCTCGCGTCCAAGCGATGTAGCGCGTCCGGTTTAAGCTGTAGATACCTAAACCCCTATATCAAATTAGTATATTCTCAGCTCCGACTATTGCATTTCTAGCTCTCTGATTGGCTCAAAAACTCCGACTATGAGCCATTAGTCGGAGTTTTACCTTATATGGAAAACAGTGCGCCAAGTTTAAAAATTTTCCGCTCTGTAAAATTGTTCAAATAAAATTCGGCGGCAAAAACCCGATTAAGAATATACTAAAACAATTATTCCATTCGACCTTGTTAGATATGAAGTG